TTGAAAACTTCACAATGTAATTTTTTTTCACAAGAAGTATTTCTGACCATAAAATTATCAAAGGAAAAATCACCCCATATATATATATTTAAGGCTTAATATTACAACCTTTAGATGTACTTTTTTTATATTGCTACTTATAACAGTTTAATTACAAGTATTAACAGATTAGTTTTAATTTATAATTTATTTTATTTTATTTAATTAATTAGTTATTATTTTTATAATTACATTATAATTAATAAGTAAGACAAATAACATTAATATTAGAGGATCAATTGTCATTATCTCTTACACTATTTTAGGGATAACATTAATATTAGAGAATCAATTGTCATTATCTCTTACACCATTTTAGAGATTTTTTTCCAGATTTCACACAACACCCCACCTTCCTCTTTTACCCACACGCAAACCCCACAGCCCCACCCGCACGTTTCTCTTTTACAGAGAATTAACTTTTTCTCTCTCACTATCTTCAACGTTCGTCTTCTGCATTCAAAAAGAAAATCAGTAGAACTGTTCCACATTTATATGATTTAATGGTGGGATGAGATCTACACACGAAGAATGTGGAGAAAGCAGTTCATAAACTTGTCACAATTATACCATTGTTTTTAGCTAGCACATGATTTTATGGTAAAAGACTCGACCTCTATTTCAATAAACTACCTACATATGTTGGCAAGCCTCAATCCAAACCCAAATTAAAGTTGTATTTATAAAGAATGATCCAAGCTCAAAGTAAGTATTCATATCTTATTGTGTTTTGTTCATAATAAATAATTCACTTTCCTTCTCAATTTTTTTTTCTTCAATGTTATTTCAGCGATTGTGGACTGTACGCATGTCTCTTTGCTAAATATATTAGCAATGTAGTTTTTGATATGTACTCATTCACATTGATGCAAAGTACCACTGTAAAAGGTACGCCACAATCATGTGGCAGTATGGAAGAAGCAAGAATGTTGATGGCACAATTAGTGAGAGTGAAGTAACTAGAATGGTTGCTAGCAAATTTGGTGGACCCCCTCATAGCAAAAGAACATGATTTAGGATACTACCAATTATCCTACACCAAGACCAAGAAAATGAACTTTGAAATACTTGATTGTAGTTTAGACTTTTAATTATTACATGTTTTGATTTTGCATGATGTATATTTCTTTTGCTACAGTTTTTGACAACAACATATTATATGCATTGTTTTACATTGTCAGATTTATTCTTCCCAACTTTATACCAGTTGGATATCAATTTCATACATTTTTAATTTTAGTCTTTGTTTTAAAATTTCAAGTTGGATACCAAGTGACTTGTTTTAGATTGTCTAATTTGGTTGAAATATCAAATTACATTTTGTTTTTTTTTTCACTTTTCAGTGGAATATCTATAGGATACCAATTGGATACAACATTAACTTGTTTTAGGTTGTCTAATTTGGTTGAAATCTTAATTACATGTTGGTATTTCAATTTTTCCGATGAGATATCAGTTGGATACCAAATGTATACCAGTTGGATACAACATTAAACTTGTTTTAGGTTGTCTAATTTGGTTGAAATCTCAATTACATGTTGTTTTTTTCAAATTTTTTTCCAAATGGGATATCAGTTTATACCAAATGTATACCAGTCGGATACAACATTAACTTGTTTTAGGCTGACTAATTTAGTTGTAAATCTTCAATTACATGTTGGTTTTTTAATTTTTCCAATGGGATATTAGTTGGATACCAATTAAATACAAAATTAATTCCAATTGGATATCAGTTAGATACCAAATGTATACTAATTGGGTACAACATCAACTAGTTTTAGGTTGACTAATTCGATTGAAATCTCAATTACATGTTGTTTTTTTCAATTTTTCCAATGGGATATCAGTTTAATACCAAATGTATACCAATTGGGTACAAAATTAACTAGTTTTAGGTTGACTAATTTAGTTGAAATCTCAATTACGTGTTTTTTCAATTTTTCCAATTGGATATCAGTTAGATACCAAATGTATACTAATTGGGTACAACATCAACTAGTTTTAGGTTGACTAATTCGATTGAAATCTCAATTACATGTTGTTTTTCAATTTTTCCAACGGGATATCAATTCATACCAAGTGTACAAATTGAATACAACATTAACTAGTTTTAGGTTGACTATTTCAGTTGAAATCTCAATTACATGTTGTTTTTTCAATTTTACCACTGGACATCAGTTTGATACCAAATTTATACCACTTTCATACTAAGATTTGACTTAATTTTTCCAGTTGATATCAATTATATACCAGCATTATCTAATTTTTTACTATACATTTAAAAAACACTGAATACACAAATGATTAATTAGTGCACATAATAAATGTTTTGAATATATAAGTCATTAACTTAAAAAGATAAAAATAAATCAAAACATGTGTTTGTCACAATAAAACAACCAAATAAAAATTAAAATAAATCACGTCTTTTTTTTTCAGCAGGGTAATTTGAACATATCTTCCTGTTGTGTCCCCCCGACGACATGTACTGCACGTAACCTTAAACCTCTTGAATTTCAAATCAGCAAACCCTTTCCAGCATTGAAGTTGTGGTCTCCCTACAGTCTTTTTGAACCATGTGACAATAATTTATGCTCCGACACCTTTTGAATTTATTTTCATGTTCCATCATAAATTATTGTGTCGGTATTACAAGATACAAAAGTACAAGTTACTTTTATACATATGTTATATCAGTATACAAATTTCATACTATTTTTATGCATCCTTTCTATACCTATTTCATGCCAAAAGTAAACACTGGTTCATATAATATTCATGCCAAAAAGAATACAAAATCATACAATTTATAATTAGTAATTGTCATTTATTAAATAATGAGTATACCAATTTCATCCCACTATTATGCACAATATCATATCAATATAATGTCAAAAATAAAAATTGAATCATACCAGATTTGTGCCATAAAACCTATAAATTTCCACACAAATTTGATTTTACTATTATATCAATTTCATACAAAATTTACGTCAATTTTTATACCGAAAAATTCATACAAAAAAAATACAATAATGGTTCATACAAAGAATGAACAAATTTAGCTATAGACATTTTTAATGAGTATTCATTCACAAATTAGTAGGGTACAAATTATCGATTGTCGTACATGTCTGGTATTAATAGTATACAAATTCCAAAAACAAATCTCTAATTTTTTTTAACAAGAAACATACCAAAAAATAAAAACTGGATCACACAAATAATGAATAAATTCAATGTTCATACCAAAATATAAAATTATACATTTAAAAAAAATGTCATAATTAAAATTATTATACATAACAAAAAATCTGAAATCAGTATACAAATTTCACTCAATTTTTATGTACACTTTTCATACCTATTTCATGCCAAAATTATACTTATTTCATGCCAAAAGTCGTCACTTTTTCACAGCAGAGTCATGTCACTATATTACCAAAATAATACCACGTTTAACTATTAATTGTCATTTATTAGATAAACAATATACAAAACTCATTCAAATATAATGCCAAAATCGTACCAACGTGGTATAACCAGTGTACCAATTTCAAATAAATTTTATGTAATTTTTTTAATCAGAAACATACAAAAAAATGAATGTTCATATCAAAATCTATACCAATTTCAAACAAATTTAATGTAATTTCAAAAAATGAATGTTCATACCAAAAACGCATAATTAAAACTATTATACACAAACAAAATCTGAATTTTTTTTTGGTATCACTGTTCATAATTTTTTTTAACGTTTGATTTGTATACCAATATAGATTAAAACAATCGCAAAAAACACTAACCGGAATGATCTCATCTACCACCATGCTTTATTAATATTGATAAGAATCCGTTCATTACAAGAAAATGAGGATTATTAAATAAAAACGAATAGGAATTAGATGAGAGTGACGACTAACTAGAGAAAATATTGAGAAGAGAAAGAAACGTTCAAACAAAAAAGAAATTTGTTTTGAACAATTTTAACTGCTTTAAGCTAAACAAGGAAAACAAATATTCCTTTTTTTTGAATCTCATAAATTTATGCTAATTAATAATTATCATCAATCAATTCAAATTTAATTAATACACCTATTTCCGTTTTTTTCTTTTTTTTTTCTTCAAATTCGATTTATTTTCCTTTTTTATCCTTTTATTTTTTTCAAAACAGATTTTTACAATTAATTAAAAAATCTTGTTTTTTTAATAAAATGTTATAACCTGATATTTTTTATTGTTACAACTTGAAAGTTTTATTCTACTGCTATAACTTGAAAATATTAGTCTAATAAATGTCATATATAAAATTTTCACATTATTAAATTCTATATTTTTCATGTACAAAAAAAATAAAAAAAGTGATGTTTCATTGAAAGACCGATCAATATTAACATGATTATATTACCAAACATATATTAAGATAAATAATGTAAAGATAAAAATGACTAGATATCTTCAAGTCATTCTTTATAGACTTACGATTCTTGAGATATGTGATATTATCAAATCATTTAAATTATATTGAAATGTTCTTAAATTTTTATTTTTATTTTTTTATAATAGTCCATTATTGGAAAAGATATTCATAAGCTTAATGAAATTATTTATAACCGCACGACGCGTGGTTAAATTACCTAATACTAATACATACACATCACTCAAAATCAATCTTATGTAATTACTCCCTCCATTGCATATCGCTCCCTCTAACAAAATAACCTTTTAGCTGTCTAATTACTCCACCGTCACCCTCGACATGTTTGTCTAATTATATAGCAAAGCCTCATTGTACACACCACCTAAACAGACTTGCAACTTTTTAAACTGCAATTACAAAGTCATGTTTGAAGTCAATATGGATCTTCAACGATAACTCGTCTACACCCAATAGCTAAAAGTCAGGATCGGAGGGGAGAAAGCTTACCGTGGTAGAATGACGCTCGCAGTGGGCAAAGTGATTGAGAAAATCCATATCGAAGAGATAGGGTTTGAGAAGCCAAAGGACATATAAAATTTCAAACATTTGGAAATAAAAGCACTGACAAGAATCAAATCAACAATGGCCATATAACTTCTAAGAGTGCCCAGGTGTGTTTACACCTACATGTAACTTATAAAGACGTCATTGAGTAAGAGTAACTTGTTCTTCTACTTGGACTCCAGCGGCTTCACCAGGACCTCTATGATCAGGAATCCAAAAGGTAAGAACTGATGATGCAGCAACAAACATGACTCTTCTTGGCGCCCATTTCAAGCACGATGCCACACCTATGTGGCTATCCCAGCTACAAATCTATCAAAACAGTCATTTTCTTAGTCCTTGGAAGATCAAAGAATACACAAACTGTACTGATGAGTAATGGAAAATTAAAGCCATAATATACATCTGATAAAAAAGCATATGAAATAAACATGACATGTGTTCAAAGGTCTAGGGTAAACATGGAGTGTAGATAAGTTCTCCTTATGAGTAATAAGGGTACACAAAAAGGCACGATTCTCAAACAGATGGATCAATGATTGTCCAAATTTCCAGCTCCCAAGACCCAAATGATAGCTGTAAAAAAGGCCCAATAGAGAGAGAGTAACCAAAAGGAGGAGACCTTTTTTTGCGTGTCGATGTGCCACGCATGCAAGCTTCCATCTCCTGAACCTTAAAGCATGAATACAGACCATTTTAGTTCTAGTATCAACTATAAGATCATAGAGAAGAATGCCTCAAGTTTGCATTTGACAGTGAGCACTTCATATTAAGAACAGGATGAAAAATAAGAACCAAGCTTGACAGCAGAACAATTCTCATCAAAGTGGAGGCGCAAGACAAAAAGAATTACAGCGCTGGCAATGCATGATCACTATTGCCCAAAGATTATTTTCACCATAATTCCAAGTGCCAAAAATTCTTTTCCCTCATACTCTGTCTAAACAATGTCTGCAATATGTTCTAGCTTCTTGCTAGAAAACCTATTTTTTCCATTTAACTTTTTCCTGAAAGGGCCCGAAAGAGTGTTAAATTCTGATGAACGGCCAAGTCATTGTGCTTATACAAGGTTACTGGTGGTTCACAACTTAAATACAAGAATCGTACTAGTCAAGCTCTAAGATTATAGGTATACTCTTTCACTTTCTCACTCATCTATTTTTATTTCAGTAAATGATCATTAATCAGTGAAGATAGAAAATGAAAAACACGTTCATACATGGTTAACATTTTTGTAGTGTGTCCAAATGATAACCTATGCATAACTGGCAACTAATAAGGCTCCCAAGGTCATGCTATGAAATATTCCAGAAAAATAAGGACCAAAAAGGCACAAAGATAGGGCTGGTATTCTGGAAGTATAGAATACTGCTTCGACATTCCTATAGGACATTCGACTTTTTTTAATGATGTCTGTGTCCCCAGACAGCTTGCATGCTCTCCAACTAATTCATCTGGCAGTCTGCTACGGTCCACAAGCATAAATGACATGTAAACATACACACCAAGGCGGGAGTAAAGTGCGATCATGCTAAGTCTAATATCTAAGCTCTAACAATAATATAGGAAGATTATTCTTCGGTTAATAATAAGCTCAAAAAATTTAACCTAATACCTGAAAAAACATACTGGCCGTCTGGTGTAAAGGTTGCCTCCATTGCTGTTGGGGAAGGATCCAGATTAAACCCACACCGCTGCACCAGTAAAATAGTCATTTAGTGTTGGATAAGTCCACAAAACATCATGAAAAATAACACTCGCTCCGTCCCATTTTATGTGGCACCTTTCCTTTTTAGTGTTCCCAAAAAGAGTGTCACCTTACTATAATTAGAAACAATTCAACTTTAATATTCTCTTTTACCCTTAATGAAATGATTTACAACCACACAAATATCAAAGGATTGTTTTAGACCACAAGTTTCAAAACTCTTCCTTTTTTTCTTAAAGGCCGTGCCAAGTCCAACGGTGCCACATAAAATGGGATGGAAGGAGTAGGAAACAAGATAAGAATCTAGAGCAGAAAGGGAAGAATTCTGATGGAAAAATAACCTTCTCTCCTGCATAGGCGTCAAGCACATAGATGCTATTACTAGTAGTTGTTAAAAGCATTGATTTTCCATCATTGCTGAATTTTATGTCACAAACCTCAGCTGTATCTCCACCCACTAGGAAGGTTTCAAAGGGCCCCTACATATCGCAACATAAGAAAAAAATCATTATTTGTAATGCAAAAGGAAGCTGAACTTTAGAGGCACAAACCTTGTCAAAATGTCTTGAATCAAACAATTTGATGGCACCCCCTTCCATTGCCACTGCAAAGACGAGGCCTTGTTGGTCATAAGCAACTGCAGGCCTACCTCTTAGACGCAAAATCCCCTGAAAACTGCAAGAGTGAGTAGATATCACAAGCATGTGTTTCATAAGGTAGAAGTTTGACAAGCTAGTACCAACTGCTGGTGTTCTTTACACTAACTTAACACTACAGCACACTGAACCTGAACTTCTAATATTTGTGAGAGCTAACAAATGCTAACATAACAGCTGATTAGCATCCAACCTGCTCAAAAGTAAGTGGGACTAAAGGCATAGATAGTGTCTTCACCCCAGTCATGCATGCACAAGCAAATGGCTGTAATCTGAGGTTATTTCTGCCACAGTTGCAATTCTACAATGTCAAAAAGGTTCCTAGTGAACCTGGGAATTTTCCCCTAATCACTGAAGAATTAATATCTGAGATCATTAATTAACATATAAGCCCACACTTGAAGAGTATAGAGGAATAAGAACTGATATTGAACCTATTTTGTGACTTGCCAAATTGACTCTGTAAATACAGTTCTTTCAGATCATTGAGTACCTAGTCTGAGTAATCTAAAAATAATATTCAAATAAAATGCAGCTATGCACCAGCTTGGTTTTCTTTTAAAAACAGTGTTTTTAAAAGCGGTAAGTGCAAAAAAAGCAACAAGGCTTTAAGCAAAGCGCACACTTCATTAAATTGAAGCACAGTTTTAAAAGAATATCAAAATAAACAGTGCACTAATAAGTAATAATATAACTAAATAAACAAGAGCTAGAAAAAAATAGTACTCCTCTATTTCAATTTGTTTGTCTTACATTCTTTTTTAGTTTGTTTAAAAAAAACACCACTTTCTATATTTAGAAACTCTTTACACTCAGTATTCTACCTGGCATGACCACCAGATTCAAAGGACATTTTGATACATTACACACACCTTTAGACTAAATCCACAAGATACAAAAGTCTTCTTTACTTTCTTAAACTCTATGCCGAGTCAAATCAGGACAAACAAACTGTAACAGAGGGAGCACCTATCAGCGAATCTTTCAATTTAGAAAGTAGCTTAATATCCTCCATAAGACTAGCAAAATCAAAACAATATTGTTTAGAACTTTTATTCTTCATCAAGATTGTCAAAATATTCATCTTCAACTTCATCAATTAGGACTCGTCTTGTAGCTACTTCTTTTCTCTTTCAAGATAAGTGTTGGTTTTTAAAAGATAGTGAAACAAAAAAGGTTGAAAGAATGATTGAAATTTTTCTCACTTTAATTTTATTTAGCATGGAAAGCTTTAAATAACCAACTTGAAAACAAAAAAAAGAAATTGCACAAAACCTGCAAAATAAAATTCAAAAGCCTACAATATCTCAACTAAACTCATCTAACAACAACAACATACCTAGTGAAACCCAGAAGTGAGGTCTGGAGAGGTAGAATGTACGCAGACCTTACAACTACCTCGTGGAGGTAGAGAGTGTTGTTTACGAATATAAAAGAGACAATGGAGAGAATATAGGAAATAGCAAGGAACAGTGCAAAAGTAGCCAAAACAACAATTAAATCATGTTATTATCGAAACACCATAAACAACAATGATACTGATTTAAAAAAAATACAACAGGTACCATTGTAGACCCCAGTCTACCCTAAGCAAGACAACACTACAATACCTACTACCATTCTACCCTGACGCGAGTCCTCCACACCTTCCTATCTAGGATCATGTCCTCGGTATCCTGAAATTGTGTCATATATTATCTTATCACCTCTCCCTATTACTTCTTCAGCCTTCCTTTGTCTCTCCCCGTGCCCTCTATAACCACCTCTCGCACCTCCTCACTGGTGCATCCATCCATCTCTTTTTTACATGTTCAAACCATTTCAGTCTCGTTTCCCTCAACTTGTCCACCACAGGAGTCACCCCTACCTTATTTTGGATATCCTTATTTCTAATTTTATCACTCCTAGTATGACCACACATCCACTTCAACATCCTCATCTCTGCAACATGCATCTTATGGACATGGGTGTTCTTGACTGACCAACATTCAACCTCATACAACATTGTCGATCTTACCACCACCCTATAAAACTTACCTTTGAATTTCAGTGGTACCTTTTTATCACACAAGACTCTAGAGGCAAGCCTCCACTTCATCCGCGCCGCACCAATACGGTGTGTGATATCATCATTGTTGTCTCCACTCCTGTAGATTATAGACCCAAGATACTTGAATTTATGTCTCTTGGGGATATTTTATGCGTAAAGCCTCACTTCCACGCCTACCTCATGCATCATGTCATTGAATTTGCACTCCACATATTTTGTCTTAGTCCTGCTCAACCTAAACCCTTAAGCCTCCAAAGTTTGTCTCCACACCTCTAACTTAGCATTCACTCCATTGCGCGTCTCATCAATTAGTACTATGTCATGCACAAATATCAACAACATGGCACCTCATCTTGAATGTCTCGCGTCAATACATCCATCACCAAGTAAAATATAAAATAGAAACAGGCTTAAGAGTCTACCCCTGGTGTAAACCCCATCTCCATAGGAAAGTGTTATCACTCCTTAGACATCCAATAGTTACAGCAGTAGTTATTTCTTTTTAGTAGTAGTTACTTTCCTGTAGTTAGGAAGTCATGTCCTAGTTTCTAGGGGTAGTTATCTTATCAGTGTTGTATTTAAACTATTTGCTTGTCTCAGGAAATGCTTGTAAAGTAATTTCAGTTTTTCAGTACTTTTAACTCAAGAGATTGCAGGTGCTCTCTAAACGAACAAGCACCATAGGTCGTAGGAAGAAAACTTCAGATTTTATCTTGCACTGTCCCATAACTAGATCCATAACAAGGGACCATATCAGAGTCGGGAGTTATGGGAGACCAAATTCAACATCAACTAGCACAATTGGTGAACTTGTTCCAAGAAGAACGTGCAACCAATTTGGCCAGACAGGAAGCAATAAATGTTTGTTTGGATGCACTCGCAAAGGATTTAGAGAATTCTAAGGTTGATTCTGATTCAAATGAAAATACAAGTTAGAATTGTGGTTGGAAGGGAAAAAATAAAGTGGCAGGAGGGTCAAGATCAAAAGTAGGAGGAAGTTACATCATTCCTCGACATACAAAGTTGGATTTCCCACGATTTAATGGCCAAGAGGACTCTTTGGGATTGTTGAACAGATGTGAACACTTCGTTCGACACCAACAAACTCTAGAAGAAAAAAAGGTTGGACTTGCTTCTTTTCATTTAGAAGGGAATGCACAACTTTGGTTTCTTCAATGAGAGATAGATATGTCTCAACCATCTTGGGATGAATTCAAACATCAATATAACTTTCGTTTTGGGCCACCAATCAGAAGTCAGAAATTGGGAGAATTGGCTACGTTATGCCAGATCGGGTCTGTGGCAGATTACCAAGAAAAGTTTGAGCAGTTAATTCGCGGGCTGGTACACTCACTCAGTCGCAAATGATTGAACTTTATATCAACGGTCTTGTTCGCAATTGTTAGATGCTTGCAAATCCAAGACAGCAGATTTCTCACCTCAACAACAAGCCTGATTTGTGAAGAAACTGACCAGATTTGAAATGGACGATAGGCGACTTCAGGGACTTTGTTTCAATTGTGATGAACCATTCACCCAAGGTCATCAATGCAAGAAATTATTCTGGATTGACTTTATAGATGATGAGGAAGAGTTTGCTTGATTGGAGAGAAATATTAATACATTTCGCACTTAGTGCTTGAGGACAAGCACGATTTGAAGGAGGAAAGTATTGTTATCACTCCTTAGTCATCCAATAGTTATAGCAGTAGTTATTTCTTTTTAGTAGTAGTTATTTTCCTGTAGTAATGCAGTTTTTCATTTCAGTAATGTTAGGAAGTCATGTCGTAGTTTCTAGGGGTAGTTATCTTATAAGTGTTGTATTTTAACTATCTGTTTGTCTCAGGAAACGGAAGAAGAAAAGTAGTTTCAGTTTTTGAGTACTTTAACTCAAGAGATTGCAGGTTCTCTCTTAACCAACCAGCACCATAGGTCGTAGGAAGAAAACTTCAAATTTTATCTTGCAGTGTCCCATAACTAGATCCATAACGGGAGACCATAACAGAAAGTGCTCCGAGTTTCCTCCCACCATTCTTACTTGCGTTTAGCTCCTTTGTACATGTCCTTTATCACCCTAATGTAGGCTACTGATACACCTCTTGCCTCCAAATCATCTAACTAAATTTAAATTTAAACAAAGACTCCTCTTACCACCAAACTACTTTAAGTATCAACTCTTTTGAAAATTGAAAGATTTGCTAATAGATACAATATTTTTTTGAGCTCTTGTTTATCTAGTTTCCTTTTATTTGTTCTATATTCATTTTGATATTCTTTTAAAATTACGCTTGAAGTGAAGCGTGCACTTTGCTTCCTACTTTAAGCTCTAGGACCCTTGTCATTTTTGTATTTATTGCTTCTGAAAACACTATTGCAAAGTCCATAAGTGGGAACCACAATTACACATGCCAAGTTTAGTTCACAGAGAGAACAACTCAACCTTAATAAATGTAAGTGGTTTCCGGTTCTACAAAAGATTGTCCTAATTTCCTCAACTTGTCCAAAAGCGGTTAAACCTACTTCTAAGTTATTTTTCGCTTTTGAGAGTGTTTGACAAAGTTAAAAATAACTTAAAATAAGTTTAAAATGACTCTTTATAAAGTTAAAAGTAGGTACTCCCCTACTTTTCATTTTTTAACTTAAAAGTTACTTAAGTTTGACTTTTTAAAAACTACTTTTACAAAGCTACTTTTTTTAAAGTTAAGCCAAACAGGCTCTAAGACAAGTCAATAAATCTTTGATAATTGAAGACTAGGTTCATTCCATAAAAATGTGATACCAACCTGGCATGCATTTACGCGAAGATCCCATATTCTCACACTATGGTCAAGAGATCCAGACAAAAAGCTGTCATTAACCGGAGACATGCACAGTGATACAACCCTGCATCCAAATCAGAGTAACAGATTTAAAGATAATCATTATGTCAAAATCAAGTGGTAAGAAGAGGGACAAAAGGAAAAGAATAATGTCAACGGATGACTGTTACTATACATAAAATAAACCTAAAATGTCACCCATTAAATTTCTGTTATGTTTGTTTTGTAGGACATTTCGTCCTTAACCTTGGATTCATTTCTCTTCTACCTTATAACAACTATTATTTCTATTGGGAGAGAACATACATAAACCTCCATAACATCTTTTTAAATCCAAAAGAAATTATTTGAAAACAAATGCGCATATTAAATCAGTATATCAAGCATTCTAGGCACGTGTACAACCATTTCAGATGCTTTTACATAGTAAGCACTCGTAAGAAAATCAGGTAGGCCATTATCTATCCCCATATTTCTACAGAAAACACACATTGTTCTAATTATTACTGAGAAAAATACCAAGAAAAAAGCACCTACCTCTCTTTATGTCCCTTAAAGTAACGAAGACATCGATTATCGTACATGGATAGGTACCGCAAAGACTCTGGCAGCAGACACAAAGCAACATGTAAACTATCCTTTCATGTAATTCAAAATCAGAAGTTGGTTCAAGGAGAATCACCTCCATGCACATCCAAGTTGTGTATTGAAGAGCATATAACAGAATGAGGGTGGTGGGTAAAGCATATTCGATCAGCTCCATGCTTCTTATGATATGTAGTCTTCAGCAACCTGAAGGTCAAAAAGAACTTGATAGGAACTACATATTCTGGTCTAGTTAAGATAGCTCATAGAGACATTAGTTGCAGTATGCAAAAGTTAAAACTTGCTTAAGGACCAAACAGAATCATGTCTTGAATCAGTCTAAAACCTAAGGGGTCGTTTGGTAGGATTCATAAGAATAGTGTTGAATACGGTGTATTAGTAATGCTGATATTTATGCTTGCAATAGTTATGCTAAGATTATTTATTATGCAGTGTCTGATTTGGTGTATCAAAAACAATATGCATTGCATAATTTCTAAAAGAAAATTATCTGCTTACAAAAATACCCTTCATAAACAGAGGAAAGGATGTGGAAAAGGCTTTGAGGGGCAAATGTGTCTTTAACCATGCTAATACATTCATTCCCATGTATTAGTTATACTTAGCATAATACCGAATACGACTGTATAACTAATGTAGGTTAAAAAAGTGTACAGAACAAAGTATTAGCAATGAATGCATTGACTGTATAACTAATGTAGGTTGAAAAAGTGTACAGAACAAAGTATTAGCAATGAATGCATTGACTGTATAACTAATGTAGGTTGAAAAAGTGTACAGAACAAAGTATTAGCAATGAATGCATTGACTGTATAACTAATGTAGGTTGAAAAAGTGTACAGAACAAAGTATTAGTAGTAAACAAGCCTAATGCATACATTATTTTTTCTAAACCATCCTACAAAACAACCCCTAAGTTGTATAAAAGATTTCAAAATGGAAAAATACGCACAAGGTAATTATATATTCCCCAACCTAATAGTATTTTTGTCAAACGTGGAACTAGTATGATTCCATCATTGACAGACTTTCCTATAATGATGGACAATGAAGATAATCTGGAAATGAATTTGAACCAGTAATTTAACTGCTCCTTGGTACATTAATTTTTAGAACTGAGAAATACCCTAGATCCAATGGCACCGGGTTTGAAACTCGGTGTATAATGGGTTTGCCCCTTAGAACCTTCTCCATTTAATACTAAACTTCTGTCTAAGGTAAGGTCGAACCTGTGAAATGTGCCTAACCAACACATCACACGATGCGCTGTTACCACTGGACCAAAGGCCTGGGAACATTTCCTTGGTACATAATCAACAATTAAAATGAATCAGTCGCAGTCAAGACGACACCAATAGATCGCTCCAGCCCAAAAATATTTAGAGTCAAGCTTCTTAACATAGCTTAAATATTCATGTCAAAGTTGCTTTTCATGCTTAAGAGCCCTGTAGACAGGAGTTCTGTAACTTCCCAAATAGTCGCATATAGGCCTACCATGGTAAAGTCATTGAACTCTTTTTTGATATAATGGCCACCTTTGGAAGTGAAGTTCTTAGTTTGCCATACTAATCAACCAATGGCGCAGTTCCAGAATGATTGAAACTTCTTCAGCCACTTTTTTTCTATAACATTTAGGTTTTTCTATGGAATGGCTGCTGCAGCCTAATGCAGTCCTCCTGTGAACCTATAACTTTTTAAAAGCTCTTCTACTATAAGTTCTTCACATTTTTAAGCCCACGTAGTAACATCTTATATTGATTGAAGGATTGCTTTCAGAATACATGAGGCTTTTTGAAAATACATAATCACAGAGAAAAAGACAACTATAGGAACTACAAACTCATAATACCAGATGATTACATAATCTGTGCATATACTCTTTATATATGAAAAATACACTAACTTCAAAAATATTAGTTTTAAACTGCACAAAATCAACTAATTTATACTCACTCCATGCCAATTTACGAGACAGAGATCGAATTGGCACGGAGTTTAAGAAAGATTCAGATTTTTGAAACTTGTGGGCAGAAATATGTCATAGAAATTGTGTGGCTATAAAATTGTTGAAACTTGTGGCGTTAAACAAGCCATGGTATTTGTGAGGTTATAAAAGCTTCTCAAGGAAAAATGGGAAGTAGAAAGTTAATTGTTTCCAAATTTAGAATTGTCTCATTCTTTTTGAATGAACTAAAACCGAAAGTGTGTAACAAAAATTTGAACGGAGGGAGTAGTACTTAAAAACATGAAGTCAGTGCCAGAATTTGCAAGCTGGAAGAATATGATGTTGACAGAACCTGATAAGCCCAAAAAATGGGTAATGATCTGATGGAGATTTACAAGTCGTTAAATAAAGGAGACAAAAGACAATACTGAAGGTTTGCACCCTGGTTATGATCTGAACAATAACATATTCAAGGATTGTTGCTATGCTTTTTCTTATTATAGTCCTGTTCTGTTAAACGAATTCCAATCTCAGATGACACTATAAACATCATATTTTGATAGATGATGGATGATGTTTAATCTACTAATTTGGCATGAATCATGACCTGACACAATAATGTAAGTGGACAATACATAGGAAAATTACACGAAGAGCTTTTCTTGCAAGCTTGTTTCAAGAACTTACTTCCCATTGGCAATGTCAAAAAGTCGAATTGAGTCATCCTCACTAGCGGTTATCAGTAAATCTTCTGTCCGATGAAAATCAAGTGAGTTTATCTGCCCACCCTAAAAAAAAAGAGATATGCCCAGGTAAAAGCAAGGTTGCCGTAGATCCAAAGCTAAAATTAATAGATTGAAACAGCGATAAAAAATATATGTATCCTGATAAAGCATTACATTATCGATAAGAACGTCTCACAGGATGCAGAATTTCTAGTAAAGCTACAAGATAACGGTCAAAAAAAAGAAAAGGTCAAGAAAGATTAAAAGAATGATGTTGCATAAAAGAGCATGAATGTGTAGGGTGAGCTCAAAAGTATAGATCTGTCCCTAGGTTTGCTTACAATTAGTCATCATTAATCTTGTCTATCCACATTATGATAAAGGGTTTCTTTGATCGCATATCGAAAGTAGAAAGCATCATTGATTTCATCTTCAACTAGCTATTTTGCATTTAAACTGCAGTTAAACAAATGCATTAAGGAGAGGGGGCTGGTAGACATAGGACCAAGTAAACCAAATTCCTATGTCCTCTTCTTTGCTTTGCTGTTATCCTGAATGCATCTTAGTTCTTCTTTCTTCAATCATTTTTAGTATGCTATTTTTCTGAGTCCTAGAACTACTTTGACCACATATGAATCATTTACATTATGGAAGGCGGAAGGTAAATGTTACATAGCAGCAACAGCAGTATAATATGGTGTTAGATTATCACTAAAACTATGCTATTTCAAAGACATATTTGGTATCACAAGAAGTACTAAAGTTTTCTCTAAAAGATAAAATACCTAAACAGCTACCGCAAATGGCACATTGATATTAAAAATTACAAATTATAGGATGTGATATATTTAACAAGGACTCATCTTAATCTAGAATATACCAAAAACAATGACCCTAATCCATCTATCATCTAAAACTCAAATTCCATTGGGTAAAGATGTTACTTCAATAAAAATCAGTTGTGATGGCCCCCAAGGGGATCGATCGCCTAAGAGTTTCAGTCAAAAATTCACATGTATCAAGTCTTTCATTCTCCAAAAGAGGGCTCAATTATTTATTTAGTTGTTCATTCCTTGTGTTTAAGCAGATGTACTCAACGGAACCGAACCCAACTAGCTTGGGACACAAAACTCTCAATTGGATATAAATGTGTCGAAGGAGAAACTCACAAAATCTGAGAAAGTGGCTCCAACGGCCATGCTCCCAACAATGTCATCGGTGAGCTCCGACAGTGCCATCATCTTTGCAACAAACTTGTATGCTTATAGGGTTTTTATACCCTCAAAAGCTAAAAAACCATTTGCTAAACGCTGCTCACCGGCATTCTCAAAGAGCACCATGTGTATATAATAAATATAAAAAGTTAGAGAAATGATTAAAGTAGTCCTTAATGTCTGAGTTTAGATTGATTTGGTACGTCATATAATTAGTATATGGAAAGAGAAAACACAAAAAGTGATACCTGAAAATTGAAATTGTATCGAATTTTTAAAAAGACACTTTAATTATATGGTGTGCTATTATTCTTAAGCAATTTTGAATTGATTCATTTTTTGTCTACCTAACACTAAAGAAACGTGAGCAATATTAAATAGTGAATTTTTATTTTTACGAGTTCGTTTTTAAAAAAATTCTTGTTATTTTAACCTTTTTTTCTTTTTCTTTCTTCTTTCTTCTCCAAAAATTCGTTGTCATCTCCATTGAAACTCCTCACTTTCAATGGTATTTTTACCACAACTCCACCTTCCTTTTACAACTATTAGTTTAACCTCTCTTCAATTTTAAAATTTTATTGAAATATTTTTTTACATTTTGTAAGATTGTCATAACAGGAACGATAATGTGTACTTGTTAACAACAGCGAAATGATAATGAAATCTTGTGAAAAATTACTCCAAGTCCAACTTTGAGTCTCAAGGAATCAAAGTTATGTTTTCACAAACTATATGTCACTTTTGTTTGCTTAATATCAGTAAAGAATATTTTTTGTTTCTCCCTCTGCTTTTGTATTCCTCACTCTCATCTTCTGAAAAGTATTCAACGCTCATTTAAAAATCAGTATACGTTGAAACAGTTACAAAGTAATTGTTCTCATCCCTTTTTCAAATTGGTGCTTATCTCTTTTTCAAAAAAAAAAACTTCGAGTCAGGTCGATCCACATGAGCGACCCGCAACCCAAAACTTGCGTCTCCACTTTGCACATAGTGGACAAGACCCAAATCAATATGATATCAACTAAACACACAATTTATACGACAAATAGTTCGTGCGACCTGTGAGTATTAAGGCTTACTTTCAAGGTTTTTACAAGCCCTACATAGGAATTCAATCACATGTGGAAAGAATTCACTATTAATTTAAGGACACTATTACTCACAATACCCCAAACTTCGTTCACTACTTCAGTAGTTACTTATTCGATCCCTCAGCCTCGTAAAGAGGTTAACTCGAGTTCATGTTTAACTTTATACACACAATTACACTCAATACCAATATGGTTAGTGCAATAGCCGACTTGTGTATGTAGGTTTATTATTCAATTAATTGTCTTTCCTTTCTACTTAAATCTATTTGTTCCTATTCAACTGCTTTCCTAGACATGCATTGCATTGCCGAATCATTCATGGTAATTAGTAACATGCTAAAGTAACAACATCGATTGAAACTTCAAAAAACAACAAAAGGTCAAAGGATATTTCATTGAAAAGTCATTTTAACTTTTCGGGGTCTCACACAATGAAGAAGCAGGGAACCATTATTTAATTGACCCATTGATTGCTTGACACACGTGGTATGAAACACGTGTTATGATGTTTTCACCTTATATTGGTGTATGTGTCTCATTCTTTCGATTATCCAACATCATATAAACCTTGGTCTAAACACCTTCAGATGTTTAACGCCAGTTTCTCTCATCAGTGATCCTTAAACTTATTTTCTTAGATAAACACTTGTCTGACTCATAAAACAAGTTATAATATGATGCTGAAACTCATCTCTTCACGTTCCTCGACATAAGAGACGATTGCTCGTGTGAGAGAACCAATACATCGACTTGTTCGACACACTTTATTTTCTACAAAATATCACATGCATACTGCATTCGAACATAAATTCAATAGAATTATATTGAAGAGAATATTATAACAATTAAGTTATTTTACAATACTGAAATACCATTAAATCCTACACAAACCTAGATCCCTAACATGTTTTTCAAACAAGTCTCTAGAGATGGCCTTCGTAAAAAGATCGAGTGTCATTTCACGTGTAGGAATGTATTGCAAAGTTATTTATCCACTTGCCATAACATCTCTCACAAAGTTATGCTTGATGTCAATATGTTTGGTCTTGCTGTGATACTCAGGATCCTTCGTGTACGCGATAGCCGCTTGACTATCACAATATAAAATCATGGGACCCTTAGAATTCTTTGCAATACTTAAATGTTCAAAGAATCTCTTTATCCAAACCGCTTCTTGTACTGCCGATGCACAAGCCACGAATTCAGATTCCATGGCTGAAAGAGTTGTGCAAATTTGCTTCTTACTTTTCCATGAAATAGCATCACCATTTAGTAAGAAAGCATAACCGGATGTTGATTTTCTATCATTCCGGTTACCAGCCCAATCGGCATCTGTATAACCTCTTATGAATGAATCAGATCCACTATAATACTGTATGATCCGCAGTTCCCTTTAGGTATCAGAATATTCTCTTTACTACTTTCCAATGATCTCTTCCGGAATTGGATTGATACCTGCTAACCAGACTCACGGCATAAAAAATGTCTGGGCGAGTACACATCATAGCATATATCAAACTCCCGAGAACAATAGAATAAGGACTCGAGACACGTCTTCCTTTTCTTTTTCAGTCTTCGGACACATTTCAAGGCTTAAAGTTTCACCCCTTGCTACAGGAGTATCCATGGATTTACAACTATTCATTCGAAAATGTTCTAATATTTTCTTAATATAAGTTTCTTGAGATAAACTTAAAAATTTCTTGGAACGATCTCTTTGGATCTTAACACCCAATATATAGTCTGCTTCACCCATATCTTTCATATCAAATGATTTTGAAAGCCATGACTTGACAGTTTTCATATACTCCAAATTATTTTCAGCTAATAAAATATCATCTACGTAAAGAGAAAGAATTGCAAAATTTCCATTGGACTTTTTCACATAGATGCAATGGTCTTCATCGATCATGGTGAAATCAAATGACATCACCTCCTTATGAAATCTCAGGTACCACGGCCTTGAATATTGCTTTAGGCCATAAATTGATCTTTTCAATTTACAAACTTTCTTTTCTTGGCCTTTAACAACGAAACCTATTGGTTCTTCCATGTAGATTTCCTCATTTAATTCTCCATTGAGAAAAGCGATATTCACATCCATTTGGTGTAATTCTAGATCTAAACGTGCAGCAATAGCTAAAAGTAATCGTATGGAGGTAAACTTTACAACTGATGAAATTTTTTCCTCATAGTCTATTCCAACCTCTTGAGTAAAACCTTTTGCCACCAATCGTGCTTTGTGTCTTTCTATTGACCCATTCGATTTGCGTTTAACTTTGAGAATCCATTTATTCCCAATAGCTTTACGTTCCTTAGGAAGGTTAACTAGATCCCAGACTTTGTTGGTTTTCATAGACTCTAATTCTTGTTTCATCGCTTTTAGCCATTCATCCATTTTAAGGCTTGATAAGGCCTCAGTTACAAAATTAGGTTCATCCAATTCGATAGGAGATACCAAGAAAACATAATCCTCAATATCATAAGATCGTTTAGGTACACCTTTTCTGGTACTCTTACATAGTTGAAGTTCAGATTCCTCTATAGGATTTTGGGATTCATAACTCCCACTTGGACCAAGAATCATTTCTTGATCATTTGAGTTATCAAGTATATCTGACGACACTACTTGATCTTATGAATTCAACATTTTGTAGAGGGGCTCACCTTCATTTATTTCACCCCTTTTTGGGAAAATCATTTTTCAAAAATCTGACATCTTGCAATACAATTTCAGTAATACTTTTGTCCTCCAGTTCATCAATGAACACATACCCTTTGGAGCATTCAGATACCTTATAAAGAAACATTTTTTTCCTTTTGGACTTAGTTTACCAAACTCACTGAAACGATCTTTAATATATGCTGCACAACCCCACGATCTTAGATCATTCAGGTTTGTTTTATGACTAGTCCAAAGTTCATAAGGAGTGGAAGATACTGATTTTGAAGGCACTTTGTTCAATATGTGGACCACAGTCAATAATGCATCTTTCAAGAAAGAGATAGATAAATTTGTTTGCGCTATCATTGACCTAATCATGTCTAATAATGTTCTATTCCTTCTTTCAGCTACACCATTTTGTTGGGGTGTGTAAGGAGTAGTTAAATGTCTGATAATACCCTTTTCGGTACACAATTCTTCAAATTGTTTTGACAAATATTCACATCCTCAATAAGTTCTTAAAGCCTTTATGCTTTTATCTAATTGATTTTCAACTTCATTCATATATCTTTTAAAGCACTCAAGTGCTTAAGATTTATGAGAAATCAAATAGACATAACTAAAGTGCGTGAAATCATCAATAAATGTAATGAAGTATGTAGCACCAGTAGACCACAAATATCATAATGGATTAATTCAAGTGGAAACTCGGCTCTTTTGGCCTTTCCAAAGGGTTTACGCATAATCATTCCAGCAAGACAATTTTCACAAGTTGACATATCAATTTTGGTGAAAGAACCTAAATGTCCTTCCTTTACCAACCTATTCATTCGATCTTACCCTATGTGACCTAATCTTGCATGCCATGTAATAACATCAATATCATTATTACTTGAATAGTATGTCATTACACAATAGTCAACATAATAGTCATAAGTTGAAGGATTACAATCAAAAACGATAAAACGATCATAACGAAGTCCAAAACGATATAAAATATTATCTAGAGTTATTTTAACGCCATTACGACTAAAAAACAAATCAAAACTAACGTCTAAAATAACAGACACAAATACTAAGTTTTGTCAAATCTCTGGAGCATATAGGATGTCATGCAACATCAAATAATGGTCACCACATAAGTCCACTTTGCAAGTGCCTATCCCTTTGACTTCTAGTTTGACATTATTCCCTACGTATATCCACTTAGATTTAGATGAAACTCGATGAAACTCCACAATCGCTTCTCGATCTCGACTCACGTGGTCGGTGGATCCTAAGTCTACAATCCACATAGGATAAAATTCAGTTAGTAAAGAAATGTTAGAAACATATGTAACACTAAGAGATGCATTCAGAAATGCTACCTTTTT